TACTGTGCCATAGGATGCATGAGCAATCATAGGTGGGCTGTAAGAATAAAGAAATGCAAATGGCCTGGAAGTCAAAAAAGGTAAGTGCTATTGAGTAACAGGTATTTTGTAAAGGTCAGTTTCCACAGAGAAAGAATATGGAGTGGTCTCACAACTGCAGCAGCAAAACAAACCTGAAGGCATGTTGTTTTAAAAGGAAGTGTTCATTCAAATATGGCACTTACACTGAAAAGCAGAAAATATTTGACTGTTAAAATGACCTCTGAATTGCATGTTTGTTTGACATTTTTTCTTTGTTGCAAGATGTCTAATAAAATTAATGTAAAAAACCCATAAGTGTCTGACAGTAATATTTTGGTCCATTATATTAACATGATTTCCCTTATATTAACATGATTACATGACCTAAGGCAGTCCTTAGATAGTGATAGAAAACTGAATTGATTCAAGCTGAGCAAAGAGGTAAAAATGCAAAGTGCTACATGAAAACCACTGGTTTTTACTGATGCCATATGTAAAAGTAAGCTACCAGTGGTTTTTTGGTTGTTTTTTTTTTTTCCAATTTTTGTATTATATATAAACGTCCTGAGAAAGGATAGCTTGATAACATATGGTTTATTATGACTAGCAAATGTAGGATTCTGCTCCCCAAATCTTAAAGCTGTGAATATTCCCCATTCTCCCTGCTGGAATATTGTTCTTAGTGTGAAGATCCATTAAGAGGTGGGAAAAACTTACCCCATAATGTTTTCTCTGTTTAAACTTATATTTTTAAAGTGTACTTTTGCATAAAAAATATGACTGGTTATCACAGGTCAGATAGGCAGCTATTAGTGATCTGAAGTGCAGCAGAGTAATAAAGCTTTTGCTCACAAATGGCAAACAGATTGTCAGTCCTCCCAGCCCCTCCTGCTGTTTCTGTAATTCAGTTCTTTTATTGGGTAAACCCCTTTTCTCCACTCCTAGGCTGTGAGTTAGCATTTATTTTGCATGGTGCAGGCTAAAGTAAAAAGGATATAAAATGCAAATAATAATACAAAACCCCCAGCATTATGATGCTCTTAATATTCAGATGGGGAATAAAAAGAGAAAGAGATGATGCAGTGAACAAAAGCTACAAATTCAGATTCATATTTCCACAGATTTATTTATTTATTGCTAAAATGGAGTTAAAATCAGTGGGGGAGATTAATACCAGTGAAGAAGAATGCAAGACTCGAAAGAATAGGGATGAGGAGGAAGATAAGCAGCTGGGAGACACACAATACACCACAAGATACATAGATTTTAAGTCCAGCGGGGACCAATGTGATAAGCAGACCTCCTGAGTAACACCGGCCAGAGGTTATGAAGCTCTGTTAAACAAGGGAAACACATGGGAAAGAGAAAAGAAATAAAGACATACATGAAGAGAGAGCTAAATTCATGCTAGGTAGAGGATCAGCACAAAACATTTGCACTGTCTTGGCAGGCAAAGATGAACTGTAACCAGCAAGAGTTTTTGATGGTGGAAATGCAACTAAGGTGGGGAGTGGAGGGGAGGAAGGGGTGAATAATGTTACCATAGGAATCTGGATAAATTCTTCAAGCAGTTGCAGTTTTCAAGTGTTTTGTCATTATGACACAAAGACGGAGACTTTTTTTCTGGTTTCTAAACTTTAATAGTAACTGGAGGAAAATATCTTCTTTAGGTAGTCAAGAGAATGAGCAACTGCATACATGAAATTCAGACCTTTTTTCTGGTCACCAGTAAATTAACCACTGAAGTAGGAAAATATTATAACTGATTTGGAATTTGAAGTCTTAAGTTTCTGTCCATATCAAGAAAACAATCATGATACAGGAAGAGAGTAAAACATTTCAGAGGAATGGGACTTGGGAACTGAATTCAAAGAACTTTTAAGTGTTTTGTATCTCTGCCTTTCTGGGTTGCGGTTGTGGGGTTGGTTTTGTTTGGGCGGTTTTTGGATGTTTGTGTGTTGTTACTAAGGCTTTGGCTTTGTCTCTGGGAGAAAGTTTTACCACTTAGACCAATATTTCTGTAGGAGAGCAAACCCACAGGTGAATTGTTCGGCATCTGTGTCCCTTTGATTTCACTCACGCGTTTCTGTGGTGGGAGTTCAAGCACACATGTAACTCGGTCACAGCAGCTTAAATAATTATCACCCTTAAGCCGAGCTGCCACAGCTGTGCCCAGCTGCACGATCTGCGCTACGGCAGCAGACAGATGCTCTCCGTTCTGGTGGTCGTTTCCACATTTCCCACCGAGCCGGTGTACTAGGGGTACAGGCCCGCAAGCTCTACCTGACCTTAAACCACCGGCCTTTTCCTGGAAGTCGCTGTGGCACTGCACTAGTCCGGTGCAGCGGCAGGTTATCTCACTCTTAGTAGAGGTTTAAAGCTAGACCACAGCTTGTTGGTTCAGAACTGCAGCCGGCGCCCCGCGCCCACGCGACCCGGGACCGCTGCAGCCGGGCCCTGCTCACGACTGTGCGCTCCCGGGGCAGCCGCGGAGAGGGCGAGGAGCCCGGGCCGGGGGCTTCCCCCCAGCACAGTCCTGTCTTGTTGCCGGGCCCACGCCGGCCGCAGTGTTTGGGAACCCGCAGCGCGGCGCTTCCCCGGCGCCGCGCTCGCCGGAGGGGCGGTGGGGAGGCTCCTCCCGCACCCAGGTGCCGACGGGGCCCTCGCCGTCTCCTCTTCCTCCTACTTCTACCCGCCAGGTTGCGGGGGGAGGGGGGGGTTGGCGGCCCTTCGTATTTTTCCTCCACGTCAGGGAGCAAAATGCCGCGCCGCGCACATGTCCGCGCAACCCCCGCACACAGCGCGCCTCTCGGAGCCGAGACGGCCGCGATCCGCCTCGGGGAGAGCGCGGCCGGGGGCACGTCCCGAGGCAGCGGCAGCGAGGGTGCCCGGCTCCGCCCGGCCCGCGGAGCTCAGCCCCAACTTTTTGCGCGCAGCGGCGCGCTGGGGCCGCAGCAGCTCCTGTCCTTCTCCCGCCGGCTTTGCCATAGGCGCAAACTTGGAGGCTCGGCAGCGGCGGCGGAATTTGGAGGAGGAGGAGAAGGAGGAGGAGGAAAGGGCGGCAGCAGCTCTGTGGCTCCGCGGGAGCGCAGCGGGGCGGTGCTGTGCGGGGGCGAGAGGGCTGGGCCGGGCTCGGCGCTGGAGGCGGCCGGAGCAGCAGGAGGAGGAGCAGGATCGGTGCCGGCGGTGCTGCGGGAAAGTTCTGGTAAGAAGGCGCCGTGTGTCTCAAAAGTTAGTTACAGGGTGATTTTGCATCTCGGAAGCAAAACAAGGCAGAGTTTACCAAGGGGTGTCTGGAGCCGGGCACGCACCTGCCCGCACCCCCGCAGGCAGGCGGCTGCCCAGATGTTGCAGCCGCACAAGCTGCTCTCAAGGAGCTATATATCAACTCAGGGTGATTTGATAACAGAAATCGGATTTGTTGTGATGTTAGCCTTTTTTCATCTCTCAGTAAGTTGCTAAAAACGTACATGTTAGCCTCTATCTGTGTTTAAATGTACCAAGAGCACTTAGTCATTTCTTTAGTATGGAAAGAGGCTCTTTTTCCTTGTGAGGAAACAAAGAGTAACAATAGCAAGAATCTGTCACAAATTTTTTTCTTTTCCTGGAAGAGAGACGGTAGCAGCTTCTTCCTCATTATAGGGCAGACAGATTTATTAATATCAGAGTAAGGTTTGAAGAAGGAGACCTTAAGGGGAACCTCCACTGTGATCCATGTGCTCCATTGTGAGTATCTGCTCCACTGAACATCCTCTAACTCATTCCGAAGACCTAGTCTGTAAAGCAGCCTGTTTCATTTTGAGTGAGGCACATGTCCTTAATAGTAACATAGTGGAGGCAGTGAACAGGAAAGAGCTGCTTACTCTCTTTCCGACTAGGAACTACAACGGTCAAATGACACTGGAGGGCAAAATACTGAAAGCAAGTATGAGAAAGTGGGTTTTTACGCAGTGGTTAAGTCAGCTGTACAGTGTTTCCCCCCACCCCCATACTCCCTAGTCTCTGGATGTCAGAAAATTTAGGTAGGTTAAAAAATGACTGGATAGAAGAACCCAAAATTTCATAAGAAATAGACAGTTGTAACCCCTGTCTTTGGCAACTGCTGAGCTGTAAGGAAATGGAAGTGGAAAGAATGTGTGGAAAAGGTGTTCAAGAGTTCTGTTTCCAAGTATCTGCTTTTGAGTACTCTTAGGCGACATCTTGGGCTGGATGGGTTTTGTTCTTTCATGCATGTAGCTTTTCTGAGAAGGTCATAGAAAGGGAAGTGAAATGCTACTACGTTTGTGCAGCTGTGGTTTCTGGTTTTATATATCTGATGCTGCTGGGGTTTGGTCCACTTTTTATCTTTTTCTTTATGCTGCCCAGCTGCAAAGGCATTTAAAGATTGCCAACAAACTTGGCTAATGCTTTTTGAAACATGCATCATATAAATGAGCAATTCTTAAGGACTCTAACTTTTTGAAAAGCAGTAATGGTGATAAGGAATACATTCAGGCTTCAGTTACTTGTATTGGCTCCACCTTTGTGCTGCTATTACGGTGGGAGTGCAAGAAAGTGGTCCAGACACTGAAAACTGCTTGTGCATTGGGTTCTATAGATTTTGTAGATCATAGCCTGTACTATGCATGCTATTTTCTGGCCTAATATGTGCAAATTATTCTAGTGAGTCAACAGGCTGTCTGTGATGACCTTAAAAATGCTTGGTAAAAGGCAAGAGACTATATCTCTGAGATTCTTTAGAAGCAGTCCAGATGAGTTCAGAAGAATTAACCTTACAGCATTTGCGTAGCTGTTACAGCTACAGAAAGGCATCAGGACTCGAGCTTTTGAGGTCTTCCAGGAAATATTGATAAAGGAACTAAGAGGTACATCGGATGAGTCATAGAAAGCTCTTTTCTATCACATAAACAGCAGGGTGCTAAATCCAGCAAGGGAGTTACATTTTGCGTAGCTGTTAACAAGTCAAGCCTCATCAGACCTCTCACTGAAACACTCATAAATGAAGAGGGCTTCACCAGGATTTGCAATGTGCAATGCACAGGTCCCTCTGCTTTGAGTACAAGAGAGACAGCTGTGAAGAAAGAGGAGTTCTGTAATTGCATCATGGCCAGAGAGAGGCATCAATAAGCAGGTGACAGGGTACATACCAGCCCATCAGAGACCCACCCATCCTCCTACAGTGTGTTCCGTCATATTATCTAACTACAGTGTGGCTTGTCTGGTGTGTCAGGAAGCTAGTCCCTGGCCCATGCAGAATACCCTGGTACCAGTCAAAGACCTTTTCCTTTTGTATTGGCTGCGGAGTGCAGTTGGCCTGTGTGCATTTTTATGGTGTCTTGTTGTTTGGTGGGAGGGGTCTTTCTGCATGCTTGATTCTTCAGGCAAGGACAAGTCAGCAGCCTAAAGATTACTCAAAAGATGCATAGCTGTCTGCAGACATTTCCCGGTTTTACATGTGCTGGAAGCTTTTGTCTCACAGAAAATGTTCTATGTTCTTAATTTTTTTTAATCAATTACTAACATTTGATACAATTAGCCACTATACCCTACCATCAGACTGAGAAGAGGTAATGTTGACCCAGCTACTGTCATGCCACATGGCATCTTATGCATACAGAGAGTGCCAAATATTAAGTGGGGAATCCAGAAACTGTGCTCTGTACGACTTTGTCGTGCTGGGGCCATCGAGCTAAGGCAGAACTGCAGGATCCCATGATCCTGAACCCTCTTTGGAGCTTATGAGATTCAGCCTACTCTAGCCACAGAAGTGCAGGTTATAATTCTGTATGAGCTGGAAGTCTGATGATGAAGAGGAGGCTGGTGTGCAGAGTATTTTGGTCAAAATATGGATGGAGAGGAGTTACTGCTGCTGTGCTTTCCTTGAGGGAAAATACTGTGATAATTGTTTGTTGTATATGCAATTGGTACAGTGTTTAGTTTCTCAGATTTCTTTGTAACCATTATACACAGAAAAGTTAGGTATAATAGCCTAAAAATGTATTTCTTGCCGTGTAGGAGACATTGTATACCATATAAAGTACTTACGCACAGGTGAACTTGCAATGCAGATCATCGTATCCAAGCAGAATTTCAGGAAATATCACCAGGGTTGTGGGTCTCAGAACAGTAGCCCAAATTTCTGGTCTTGGCTTAGTGTCAGAGCTATTTAATTTGTGAAAGGAGAAGATCTCCAAGACCTGAAGTCTCAGTACCTGAAGTACCATGCTCATCTTATTGGTGAGGCTTTTGACGAAAACTCCTCACATCTCAGTGCTTTCCTGCCTATCTCCAAGTCCTCTTCAGTGTGCTGTAGAGGAAATTAGGTTGCTTTGATGTGAGCTGGTTTTTTAGTTTTTTGTTTTGTTTGTTTGTTTGTTTTTTCTCCTTATCTTCTTTTTTTCTCCTTACCTTCTTGGTGCTTAGAAATGCTACGTGGGTAAACAAAAATATAGGATTCTGTATTGGGTTTGTGTGGCCAGGTTTTGGTAGTGGTGGGGGGAATACTGGGGTGGCTTGTGTGAGAAGCTGCTAGATGCTTTGCCCATGTCTGGCACACCAGCACTCAGAGGTAGCGTGACTTCATTCAGGCCACAATAGTCTACTGTCTCCACTCTCCATTAGACTTTTACATGGGCCATATGGGGCTGTTAAAGGGTGAGCAAGTCCTGCTGAGCACTCCTTGGCTCTCCAGTTGACAAATTAGCTTATAGATGGGAATTACGGAGTCTTGGTTGGTGTGATTTCTGCTGGTGCACTGCTCTGGTAGCAACTGGCACTTGCTGGTCTTCAACTTGCAGCAACCTCATGATGAAGGGATCTTCTGAGAGGCCAGGCAGAGTACCTAATTGTTTGATCTTGTCTGTATTCAGAGTAGCTACACCAAAAGCCTATCGATAGCCCTTTGGATTCTTGGAGTACTCTCTCCTGAGGTAGTTGATACCAAGGCTACAAGGGGCTTCTCCTGGTCCTTGTCTCAACCCATAAACCCTTAGTTATATTTTCTCTCCCCTGTCCAGCTGCAGAGGGAAGCGATAGAGCAGCCTTGGTGGGTACCTGGTGTCCAGCCATGGTCAACCCACTACAGGTTCTTATACAGATAATGTCTTCCGCAGCTTTTCATAGAAAGCCTTGATGCTCACTATTTTTCAGCTAACTTTTACAATTTTCTTTTGTAATTTGTGCAAGAAACAATGTCATCCCTACTACTTCTGTACATCCGGCTTCATACGCGCTTGAAACACTGATGATGGTGAAGGCTGCGGGCAGTGGCAGGATGAAGCAGACACCAGGACTTTGCTCACCCACCAAACCGGATGTGCCTGTGCTGATATCCTGGGGCAGGGCATCCTAAAGAGCTCTGCAAGGGGAAGAGACCACAGCAAAGTCCAGGAGGTAGGTCTGCAACCCTCCATGAAATGATCTTGCTGATGTGACAAGCTGTGACTTTGGCAGGGGGAATTGACTCAAAGAGGGTGATTTACAGCAAGGGGTTTGCAGAGAGTCTGCAGGCAGCTTAGTGGAGAGGTGAAGGAAATGGAGAAATATTTTGAGCTCTTAATGGGAGCTTTTCTGCAGTGTGGTGCAGTTTCTCCTGCCTTCCTGTCTAACAGGAAACTTCCACCCTCTTTTATAGTGCTTCTCCTTGCCAATGAATACAGGTTCTGGCCCTTTGGGTCTTATTTTTTTGTTATACTATAGCTTAGGAGTAAAAGTTAACCCTCTCTCCGCTGTAGCAGTATTGCTTTAAACTCGTGTATGAGTCAGAACAAAGCTGTTAAACTCTAGATTGCCCTGAATTAGAAGGGAGTAAACTCTATTTGCTGAGGTATGTGTTTGGTTTTTTTTTTCCCTTGACTCCTGGCTTTATAGTACACTAAATCCTTGGTAAGCATGAATACTCCCATTTCAAAAAGTCAAGAGCATTTAAATACTCGATGTATAAGCAATCAGGCTTGGGAATTTTCAGGACTGACTATCTCTGGGCATTCTTAACACTTTCTAACTTTAAGAGGGCTGCAAATCCTCAGACTGGCAGGACAAAGTACTATGTGATGTACCAAGTGATTTGCTGAGAGACTTTTTCTTTTCAGGCCTTCACCAGAACAGCTTCCATCAAAAGTTATTGTAAAATAGGTCAGATTAGTTGGGGATGCAGAGGAACCAGGTTCACATCTCTCTTGCGCTGTTGTCTTCTTGCATGACCCTACAGAAGTTGCTTACCTCTTCTCCTAAGCAAAGAGTAGAGACACAGACTTTCTTTACCTCAGCATATATCTGAGACATGGGCATGCAGGAATTAATATAAGATATTTTACTGAAATTATGGGGATTGCCATTGAAGACAACTGGAAAAGAGCATTTGGCCTTTTCTGAAGAGCATACAAAGAGTTGGGACCAAGTAGCAGACAGACAAGCAAAGCAACTTACTATGTGCTCCGCAGGTTCTTTTAGGAAACACAGATCTGTGTGTCCTGTGCAGTGAAGAGTCCTCATGCTTAACACTAGGACAAACTCTGGTGTGATACCCATAATTGCCAAATCTTTGCTGAACCTGTGTTTCCCATGTATGTGGTAGAACCTCTCTTCCCTCTTCCAGAAGCAAAAACCAGGCTCTGTTAAACTGTAGATTTTATTTTCCTGGTGACACTGTGTTGTTTTAAGTATTCAGGGTCTTAAAATTGGCAGACTTATCATTTAGTTAGGGTTGGGTCTAAAAGTAATGACGTATTTTTCCACATCTTGCAATTAAGTATGTAAACAATAGTAGTTACTTAGTTATTTAGTTGTGCATCATTTAGAGAATATCTAAGTAGTACATCAGACAGGCAAGCCAAAACAAGGCTGGTAGTGAGTGTCCATGTTACAGGGACATAGCCTGAGGCTCCAAGGCAGAGGAAGAAGGTAGAAAACCAGACAAACTTGATAGAATCAACTGATTTAGATTTAATACCAATAAAAGGTATTCCTACAGAAATCCCATGATCCCTATCAATAGAGAATTTTGCAATGGAAATAACCAGCTAACAGCAGTAAAAACTAGCCCATTAATAAATTAACTTTTCCAGCTAGCACTATTGAATAATCAAGTAGTGTTAAAAGTTTAATTCAGTCAGACAGTTTACTAAAAATAAAATAAAATTGCTTAGTAAAGCACATGATTACTTTTCCTCTTCACCAGCTTCCCAGGAACAGTGCCTCTCTACCTTTTCCAGAGATACATCAAGACCCAGACTTGATTTGTATAGGCCAGAGGGAAAACCAGAAGGAACTAACTACATCTTTCCATAGAGCTGGTCATGCAAACATGTCAAGTTTGCACTGCTGTGTAAGCAGGTGTGTATTAAGCAAACAGAGATATTTTATCAGGGAGAACTTTCCCAAAGTGTTTTTACCTGGAGGAGAGGGATTTGTTCCCATAGTTCCCGGTGTTATGTAGTAATGGTGTTGGTTGCTGAAATACACTGTGACCTGGTTTCCAAGAAAAAGTGTAGACACTGGTTATGCCTCAGGTGCCTTTGAGTGATGAGTGAGTTGGAGAAAGCACCTGTTCTGCTGCTTTGATTTTTATTGTTGTTGTTAATGCTACCTACATGAAAGCACTTACCCTCATTGGTCCCTTCCTCCATTCTCCTCCTTCATAATTTCCCAACCTCTGTTCTGATGCTCCTACTCTTCTCAATATCCATTCCCTTTTTATTTTTTTAACCTAGGTGACAGCAAGGAGCTTGGTTCGTGCTGTTCATAGGCAGAAGGGCTTCTGCATGCAAGAGAGAATCACACGGTGGGGTAAGAGCACTCCTGCTCCCCTGCATCCACTCTCCTGGTTCCCTCTCCTTCCACAGACTTGCATTCACACTTGACCTTTTCACTTAACTCTTGCTCCATGGTGAGCATGGAAGTAGTTTGCCTCACGACAGCATTCATAGAGAGTACTGTGTATTTCAGAACCACTGAGGAGAGAGCACTGACTACTCACAGCTTGAACTTTCCAAGAATCCCTGTTCTGTCCAGAATTGCAACTAGCATGTCTTGTCACTCCATGGTCTGGGTTAACCATTCCCAAACCAGTGTGACAACAGATAAAGAGATGGTTCCCACAGCTGGACATCTGGCATGACACTGATAGTGGCATCTCTAGAGAGTCACAGACATCTTTGATGGGTAATGATAAAGTAGAAAAGAAGTAGTATAAATTCAGTAGGTCTACACATTAGGAGAGATCATGTCTCAAACAAAGTAGTTCACAAGCTGTTAATAAATCAGTGTGCTCTGAATATAGACAAACTAGGAACACCTCTGTACTGTGCAGACCACAGGTGAGACTTGCCATGCAGAGCAAGAGGAATGTGAGTTGCTCAGGGTGAAGGGAGCTGTAGACTCCTCCTGTGCAAGAATGACATTGGCATCACTAAGTTGCACAGACTGGGAGTTGCTGTTACTCCAAGCTGAGTTGATGAAAACAGCAGAAATAGTAGTGAGGAGCTGCAGTAAAGCCTTGGTCTCTCTCAGGAACAAGGGCTCTTCATATGTAAATCATTAGGGTCTTAGTAAAGTAGAAGCATGCCTTTAGAGAGGCAGTGTGAGCCCAAAGCCGACCAGTTTTGCTGTGCTGAAGAAGGGAACCTGTCCATTCCTCTGAGTTGCTCAAATGCTTCCTTAAACCTATACAGACAGGTGGCCTCAAAGAGGGCTGAAGCGGGTGCAGCACTGGTGCTTATGAGCCATTGAAGGGTAGAATCAAGCAGGAACTTGATTCTCTGGGCTGACTCAGACTTCTGCTGGCCAGAGCAGCTTTCAGGCTGGCTTTTCTCCATTGCTTCTGAGTGCCACTCTGGGATGGAGGAGATGCTGGGGTGTTCCTGGCAGAGGATCAGGGTTGGGTGCAATGCTGCTATCCCTAGAACACTTCACGTTGGAAGTACAACAAAGCTGTGCCATCACAAGCAGAGCTGGCAGAGCTTGCAGTCATGGTGCAGAAGCTGGGCTCTTTTCCTGTCTCCTGTTTGCTGGGGCCAAGACTTTCCCAGGGATGCTTCATCCAGTCCATCTCACAGACAAACTGATGATCCTTTGCAGTTCCTTTCCACCAGCTGCAAAGGGACTTCAGATGGTTAGTCTGGGTGAGGTGTGTCTTATGTGTGTGGTAGAACGACCAGGATACAGAACACGTTCTCTGCTTGTTTCTTTCGAGGCAAAATCTAGAAGTAGTCTGGGTAGTTTAACCACATTGGGTTCTGCTCCCTGACATAAAATATATCTAGATGTGGTGGGACAACTACAAGCAGTGTACTGGAAATGTCCTTGCCCATGGTAGAAAAGTTGGACTAGATGACCACTAAAGGTCCCTTCCAACCCAAGTAATTCTGTATTTCTGTGATTCTATGAAATAATGTATGATGGTTATACATATATACTTATACATCATAATAGTGGTTATATGGTTTCTCAGTAGGAGTGATGCTTTAAACTTGATTTTACTCTGAAAGAATTTTTTTTAAATGCTATTCCAGATAAATTAATTTATGTGCTCACAAGAGGCTGTTCAGAGCAGAAATTTGGACCACCACAACTCATGATGTACAATTTCAGGCAGTTAATATCTGACTGTTCTGTTCTTCATCCAATGAACAGCATCAGCAAGTCCTATTTTAATTTTAAGGGGCTGTGGGCTTACAGGGAGGTGTACGCGGCTTCTCTCCATTCCTTTTTGTGTATTTGTGGTCTACTTCCCCCCAGGGAACATATCCTGGACTGGTACAAGGTTTCCTATGTTGCTCAGATAGGTAGTTCACCTATGACCTGCAACCATTTCTTTGTCTGCATAACACTGAGAAGATGCAACAGTTTATGAGGTTCACTTTTCAACAGTTTGGTAAATGCAGTGAAACTTCAGGTGGGCACACTCAAAAACAATTTAAATCTAGTTTACAGTGATTGGTATTGTTTCCACAGCATCTTAGATATTCGATGTTATGGAACTATTAGTAATACAAACATAGGAGTCATAAACTTCAATATTGCAATAACCTTAATACCTCTGTGATAGTGCACAGTGGCCTTAGCCAGTGTGTTTGGATCACAATCCAACAAAAATTACCCAGTATGCAGGTGAAACTGCAGAACAGTTTTTTGGGCAGGCAGATTGTCATTCCCTCTTGGGGTCTGCCTTGGAGGCCAGGATTACCACTTCTACAAATTTTTACAGAAAAGAACATTCTTTTTAATTGTGAAAAAATGCAAATCAAGAAGAAAACATTGCTCTAATCCATCTTAATTTTGACAAAAACCCCCTAACCTGTAGAATAAACCAAAGTGTAGATTGTTGCCATCTCTAATACTTTGTTCTCATTCAAAACTGAATTTCTTTTAGGACTTAGTTCAGTTCAAACAAAAAATCCCGAAATAGGAAGTGTTTCTATAGAGTTTGAAAGAAATACATTGACTTGAGGCAATGCACATGTTTTTTGGGAATGCCAGTGAAATGCAAAATCGTTCAGTTTTTCATGTGGCTTGTAGAACAGGATGTTCAGGGTTTTACAACTAGATTGCATGTGAGTTAGCAGCACACCTGACCTTTGCTTAACCCTTTTAAACTTCAGTATCGCAGAAGGCACACCTAGAGCCTTGCTCTCAATCAGAAGAGTTGCAATTAACACGTGCTGTTCATGACTGGAAGCTTTTAGCTGGGCCACTTCCTGGCCACCATTCTGTGCTCCTACTTGAAGCCTGAGCAGGATTTCCTCCTCTTCCCAAAAGCTTCACCCATTTTCATTTTGCAATTGAATCCTGAGCAGTGTGCATGGCTTTATGAATTAGGTAACCTTTGACACAGTGATCTTTGCAATTGAGGGCATGATCTTTGAGAGGCTAAGAGCTGTAGTCAGTGCTTGAGGGATGGATGCTTTGCTTTCATTCATCTTCTCTGAGTGTTAGCAGCAGTTGTGAAAGGAGAGACACTTCCCAGATTTTTGAATTTTTTTTGTATGTCTTGCATTACAGTGCTCATGACAAGGGAAATGCAGATTTTTTGATGTAACAAATTGATAATGGGTCTGTTAATCAGACTGATACAAGTGCATGTGTTTGTTGGCCAGCTTCGAGAGGGTAAAATCTGAGAGGTTTAACAACAGTGTGGTGCAGAGGCAGGAGAGGAGGATTTCCCTGGGAGTCAGAGTTCATGAAAGGGCTGTATAACCTGGTGAAGATCTGGTCAGAAGTCTTATGCCAGATGAAGACCTGGGGCTCCTGCCCTCCTCAAGTCCTGAGCCATGCAAATATGTCTCAGGAGTCTTCTTGCATATAGAAAAGACAAGACAATGCCAAGCTCATAATATAAAATCATAATATAAAATCTTTGTGCAAAAGATGGAACTTTGGTGCTCTGTATGGGATCACCTGAGTGTGCTGGTTTAAAAGTTAACCAGCAGGGGAAACCAACCCAACTCAAAAGAGAGATTACAAATCAGAATAACAATTTAATAAAATAATACAATAAGTACGACCACACAGACAAGCAACCGACCCTAACCCACAAAGCCGAAATGTACAACCCAGCACCCCAGGGCACAAACAAAACGGTGCTCCCTGGGCCCCCCCTGAGCCCAAAGCAAAGGGAGAGGGGAAAAACCTGCTGGTGGGAGAGCTGCTGCAGTCTGGCCAAAGTGGTGATTGCAGTTCAGTTGAGGGTGGTGGTCTCAGTCTGGCTGAGAGCGGTGAGCTGCAGTCCTCCTCTGGATCCCACGAGCGGTGGAAAGGTTCTGAAACTCCAGGTTTATATATTCTCCAGCTCAGGCAGGAATGATTAGTCCCTCC